CCCAATCCCGACCCGCATCCCCTTCCCCTGACTTCCCCCCCTCCCAACCTCCCTCCCGCTGCATTCCCCCCCCCAACTCTGAGCTCAACTTTGAAATTTGCAAAATTTTTGATATCTCAAACTTTTCACTCCCCTCACTTTCCAATTACAAACTATATAAATTCGCTAATTAATCAAATTTTCAATTTTGTGAATTTTCAATCTTTTCGTTAGATTTCTCCCTTTTAGAATTCATCAATTATTAATTCAAAATTAACTCGAAATTACTTCCAAATTAATTTGGGATTTCAACCTTTTCCTTTTTTTTCTTTTTTTTTTAATTTTTCTTGCAAAATGTATATTTTTCTTCCATAAATTCTTTTTCAAAATTCTTTGTTCGAAAACACTTTTAAGGTTAATTAATCTTTTTTTTTTTTTTTCCTTGTAATTCGAAAATAAATTTCGAGTAAATTGAATCTTTTTCTAAAGAATTTCTTGCAAAATGTATTTCTGAACTAATCAATTATTTTCAAATAAATTCAATTAATCCAAGTCATAATTAATCTCTTTATTCGAAATTAATTACCCTCTTTCGAAATTTTAACATCTTCCTTTTGTAAAATTCCTGCAAAATATCTTTTTTTAATTTCGTCAATTATTCTTGAATAGATTCAATTAATCTTAGAATTTACGAAATTAATATTCGAAATCAATTCTTTCTTTTTTCCCCTTCATTTTTCAATAAAACTTCCAAAATCCTCTTCATTTTGTAAATAAAAGTCTTCAACCCCCCCCCAAGCGCTAAACCAACACCTCGCACAAAACTGCTGAAGCCACTGCCGCCTCATCCGCGGCTGCCACTTCAGCCGCTGCCGCCACTATCACCTCATCCACTGCTGCCACTTCCGCAGCTGCCATTGCCACCACCGCCGCATCACCCCCCATCACCCCCCACCACCCTCATGGCAAAGTCTTCCAGTATCGACGTCCCCTATGCACACCCAGTCCATTGGGAGTCTCGCCCGTGAACTTGCATGTGAACAACGAGCCGGCCCCGCCATCGCCATCGACCTCTCGGCCATCCTCCAAATGCTCTCCATCGTACAAACCACCGTTCAAACCTCCCTCATCGACATGCAAGCCACTATCTCAGCTCTCTCCGATCGCATGACCGCCTTCAAGCAACAAGCTCCGGCCATCATTTTAACTATAACTCCACCCCCTTCCTCATCCGGACCGACCAACTCCTTCACTCCGATCTCCACCACCACGCCTCCCTCCACCTCTCCTCCTCCGTCATCATCTACCACCCCGTCCTCCAGCGACTCTACCCCACCGCCCCCCTTCTTCCACTTCCACCCCCCCACATTCCACCCCTGCCATCACACACCTTTCCTCCCTCCCTCCTCATCAACACATCTCCACTCCTATCCTGACCACTTTGACCATCACATTCATCCCGCTCACCTACGAGCAAGTCACCAAAATCCCCCACGCGTCATCCTCGACGCTCCTCCCCGCCTTCCCCCAGCCTCCCCCCTGCAACCTTATCCCTACCAACCCCACCGACGACTACACCCGCATCGCAACGGCACCCACATCCTCTGACTTCAACACCCTCGCACGCCGTGTCCCCAAAACCGGCTACCTTCCCCCATCCTTCCGCCTCCGAGACATTCCCACCTTCTCCAGATACTCCCATGACGACATTCTCCTCTTCCTCGCCAAGTTACAAGAGGCTTTCGAACTCCACGATGTCCCCCTTATCCACTAGCTTTCCATCGCCGTCAACAAACTCGTCGACACCGCCCATCGATGGTGGATCACCGAATCCGCCAACCGACACTCCGCTGGCCTACCTCCCCTATCCTTCCTCGAGTGGGCCTCCCTCCTCTCCGCCACCTTCTGCCCACAAAAGCCAATCGACAACTACGTCGACCAGTTTTGCAGGCTTCGCATAAACGGCCCCACCGACCGCTTCGTCCAATATGTTTGTACCCTCCACCAAAACATTCCCCACGACCAGATCAGCGATAATGTCTTCATTTCCCGCTTCAAGCGGGTCTGCCGCAAGGCTATCACATCCTCCCTCGCCTACGAGCCACCCATGTCCTTCACCGACCTCCTCACCCGTGCCCTTCAACACGATCGCCTTCTCTGCCCCGTCTGGGGTCCCACCACCTCCTGTCCACGCTTCTTTCACAACATCTCCGCAGATGAAATTCCCCTCCGACGACAAGTTCACAGCCCCTCTCGTTGAGCCTGACACCCTCTCCGACTCCTCTGCCCCGGTGTCCCTCAGTTCGGAGGAACTCAACACCATCCAGTTCTTGCATATGGAACGCAAGGACCGCATGGCTCGACCATCTTCCTCCACCCCACCCCCCCATCTCAAGAAACTCACAACAGAGGAACGTGCCTACCTGCAGGCCAACAATAGCTGCTTCCATTGTCGGCAGCTTGGACACCAGCAAACAAACTGCCCCAATGCCGGCCAGTTCACTCGGCACGTGAACAAACCTACGACATCCACTCCTTCGACCGCCACTGGATCCGACCTCTCCTCATCATGAATTTTGTACCCTTGATCTTGGAGTGCACCTTACTCCACCGGCAACATCCTCTACCCCGCCGGACGAGATCATCACCGCCTCGTGCTCTTCCACCCTCCTCCCCAACCCGTCCTCCATCTCCTTCTCCGATGTTGTTGCGAAACAAGCATGACTTGATCGGCTCGTTAAGTTAGGCCTTGAAAAATGCCACCTCAACACCACGATCTCCTCCGCCTCCGTCGACTCCTCCCGATTCCAACTCAAATTCATCGCCGCCTCCGTAGGTGCGTCCACACTCAAGTTTCGGGCTCTCCTTGACATCGGAGTTACCGACAACTTCATCACCGGCAACTTCATCACCGGCAACTTCATCACCGACGCTTGTGCCTGCAAAGTCGGTCTCCCTTCCACCGGCTATGACTCCCCGATCACGATTCACCTCAGGACACCGCACCGTTCCCGAGACCACAATGACTGTCGGCTCTCTCCACGATCAGGTTCAGTCGATGTCATGCACTTGATGTGCAACATCGTCTTGGGAATCCCATGGCTCGACCGTTTCATGCCCTACTCATTACATCCCACCTTCTTTCGCATCACCACACCCCCCGACTCTACCCTTGACATTGCCTTCTTTCACCACCCTACCTCCCAACCTTCTGTCACTTCCCACGAGTTTTTCCACATGGCTCGTCACAACCCCTACTCTACCTATTATTGTCTTATCCTTGACCATGAGTGTCCCGAGGACTTGCTTCCGGCGGACAAACCCGACCAAGCCCACCCTTTCGACCCCGCTCTTACCTCTATCCTCGAGGAGTTCAAGGACGTCTTTCCGAAGTCCTTGCCCGTCGGACTACCTCCGGATTGTGGTGTCTCTCATACCATTGACCTGGAACCCGGTCACACTCCTCCATGTCGACCACCCTACCAGCTCTCCGTTCTCGAGGCCGAAGAAATAAAGCATCAGCTCAATGAACTCCTTGAAAGAAGATTCATTAAGCTAAGCTCCTCCCTTATCGGTACAAGTTGCCTCTTCGTCAAGAAAGGCGGAACCTCCAAACTCCAAATGTGCACAAACTACCGCGCCCTCAACCGGATCACGATCAAGAACAAGTACCCTTTGCCTCGCATCTCCGGGCTTCTTGATTGCCTCCATGGCGCCAAGTACTTCACAAAGATCGACCTCCTAAGTGGCTTCCACCACATCCTCATTCGCGAAGAGGATACTCATAAGACTGCCTTCCGCTCTCGCTTTGGGTATTACGAGTTCCTTGTGATGCCTTTTGGCCTCACAAATGCCCCAACGACCTTCCAGTCTACTTTGAATCACATCTTTCGCAATCTTCTCGAGGTCTGTGTCGTCGTCTATCTTGATGATATTCTAGTCTTCAGTCCCACCTTCGAGTCACCTTCAACACATTCCAGGTCCTCTCTATCCTCAAAGACCAAAAGTGCTACGCCAAGCACAGCAAATGCACTTTTGTTGCCACAAGAGTAGAATACCTTGGCCACATTGTATCCGTTGATGGTATCCGCATGGACCCCTCGCAGGTCACCGCCCTTGTCGAGTTTCCCCCACCTACGACCTTGCTGCAGCTTCGTTCCTTCCTCGGTCTTCCCAACTACTACCGCCCCTTCATCCGCGACTTTTCCAAAATCTCCTACCCCCTCCACGAGCTCACTCGCAAGAACGAGCCTTTTGCATGGAACGAACATCGTCAAGCTGCCTTCGACTTCCTCAAACAAGTCATTACCACAACCCCTCTCCTCAAGATTGTTGACCCCTCTCGAAACTTCTATGTTACCACCCATGCCTCAGACTTTGCTATTGGAGTCGTCCTGTCCCAACACTTCCCCCGCAACATCCCGGACCCCCCCTCCATCAAGGATTCCCCTACCCACTCCAAGGCTCCACCTGGCAAGTACCCTATCACATTTGCAAGCAAGAAGCTTATGCCGGCGGAGATGAACTATCCCTCCAATGAGAAGGAACCCCTTGCCGTCATCTATGCCCTCAAAGTCTGGCGCCCATACCTCGACGATCAGAGTACTTCACTATCCGTACCGACAACACCATCATCTCAAGCATACTCACCAAGAAGGTATCACACCCCGCCAAGCTCGATGGTTAGACTTTCTCGCTCATTTCACATTCACCATTTGTCACACCTCCAGCAAAAGCAACCGCGTCGTTGATGACCTCTCTCGATGACCTGAGCACAAGCCCCCTGAGAAAGTCTACGCCGCCATGATCCATGTTCATCTCCTACCTTCACTTCACCACCGCTATACTCACGGGTACTTTTCATGCCCAATTTCTCTACCATCTACAACAACCTTCGCAACCTCGACACCATCCCGGACTACTCCCTCCACGACAGCCTCTTGTACATTAACACTAAAGGCACTCGCCGTCTCTGTATCCGAAACGCACACTACCCAACTCCTTCCCGAACACCACGACGCCAAGACCGCAGGACACCTTCGTTTCCAGAAGACATTCGACACCATCTCTCGCTACTTCTACCGGCCCTCACTCCTCGCCGACGTCAAAGCATACATCGGATCATACCCCACTTGTCAAGAAGTCAACCCCTCAAACCAGGTCAAGCCTGGCAAGCTCCAATCATCGTCTATCCCCACCCATAGGTCTCTGTGCATCTCTATGGATTTCGTGTGCGGTCTCCCTAAGACCGACCACGGCGATGACTGCATCTACGTCATTGTCTACCGCTTGACCAAGCGGGCCCATTTCAGCCCTTGCACCACTTCTCACAATGCCAAAGACGTCACCAGACTCTTCTTCGATCATGCCGCACGCCATCACGGTTTCCTCGAAGACATCATCAGTGATCATGATCCTCGCTTCCTTTCCTAGTTCTGGAAAACTTGTTGAAAGCCTACGGCACCACTCTCAAGTACAACACTGCATTATATCCCCAGACCAATGGCCAGACCGAAAAGATGAACGATACTCTCCAAAGGATCCTGCAGTAGTATTGTCATCCACGCCAACACGACTGGGATCAGTTGCTCACCGCCGCCGAGATTGCCTACAACAACGTTGTTTGCCCTTCCACTGGCATGTCCCCATACTACCTTGACCTTGGCTACCATCACCGCTTGCCCTCAGACTTCTTGCTCCCCTCGCAGCTCAACCCATCCACTCCCTGTCCTCCTCTCAATAAATGGGTTGCAATAATGAACCGCCTCCTCAGAGAAGCCACTGACACCCTTGAAAGAACCCAACAACAACAAGCCAACAAGACCAACAAGCACAGATGAGATATCACATTCAAAGTAGGGGACAAAGTCTGGCTCTCAGCCAAACGCTTTGAACCCGAACATGGCTTGTCCAAGAAACTCTCAAACAAGTGGCTCGCTCCATTCCCCGTCATTGAACAAACATCCCCTGTAAATTACAAACTTCAACTACCCCCTGACATGAGTCCTGTTCACCCTGTCTTCCATGTTGAGTACTGAAAAAACACCATGAATCACCTCCACAATATGTCGACCGCCCGTATCCTAGACCTCAACCAATCATGCTACCTACCAGGCCAAAATTCGTGGTAGAATCTATCATAGGACGAAGAACAACTCAAGTATCCGATCACCCGAAACCAATCACTGAATACAAAGTCAAAGGGACCGGATACCCGGATGAAGAATCTACATGGGAACCCCTCGATAATCTCAAGAACGCCATGAAACTTGTTCATGCCTATGATCGTGCTCACCCTGTATCCTAGCTATATACTTCAAAGTTAACACCGATATACTCTGCATAAACCATGCCTCATTGCTCCACACACACCCCTGTACTCAGCAAAACCCCTGCTAACACCATGAATCACCTCCACAATATGTCGACCGCCCGTATCCTAGACCTCTACCAATCATGCTACCTACCAGGCCAAAATTCATGGTAGAATCTATCATAGGACGAAAAACAACTCAAGTATCCGATCACCCGGAACCAATCACTGAATACAAAGTCAAATGGACCGGATACCAGGATGAAGAATCTACATGGGAACCCCTCGATAATCTCAAGAACGCCATGAAACTTGTTCGTGCCTATGATCGTGCTCACCCTGTATCCTAGCTATATACTTCAAAGTTAACACCCATATACTCTGCATAAACCCTGCCTCATTGCTCCACACACAACCCTGTACCCAGCAAAACCCCTGCCCCTCGACCTCTCTCTGTCTGATCCGCTCTTGCCTCCGTTTCGTTCCCCAATCTGTCCTCTGCCACATCCTCTGTCTCTTTTGTCCAAGCCTTACCTGTGGCTCCCGCGCATCGTCGACAATAAAGGATCTAATGGCAAGCGCACGAGGACGATGGCCTGCTGCAGCACAGTTCGAGGAGATTAAGCAGCTGGTTGGCCACCATGCTGTCCCATTGGCCGGCACCTGGACTCGCAGACTTCTGGAGCAGCACTCTTGACATGGACATCAGGATCAGTCTGCGACCTGCTATCCGGATCATACTTCATCTACCAGACGCACCCTGGCACTTGAACCTTCATCTATTGGACTGCTACAATACTTCATTCAAGCTGGAAACCTCGCTACTACACGTTGCAAGCCTGCTGAAGACTGGTTTATCATTAGCATTCTACCTATCCATACCAGGGATTACTTCAAGACCTGTTTCAAGACTCTCACCCAGACCATCATGCAGAACCTACGATTGCTCCCCCAACCCCATTCACTTCGAGATCCTCAGAAACCCCAACCCCCGAACACTGCAACATAATTTTCCTGTGTTTATTTTTGCTCACCTAAGCCTTTCGCCCAATATAACCCTGTAGTTCATCAGTGCGACAACCCTGTTCCCCTCTTTGGATCATAACCCCGTAGCCCAACCCTGTTCCCCTGCAGCTCCCAACCCTGTTTCCCCCAGCCCTTGCTACCCGTATTATACCCTTCTCCCTTTTTTTTCCTGCTTCCCAGTGATCGGCCCCGTGCCGTCCTTCACAGGATTCAGCATTATTTTCATGACTTTTGGCAGACAGGACGTTGCCTTCTAGAGGGAGGGGATAGTGTTACGGACTCCGCCAGGGCTCGATCCCTGGTATGCGGGTTACCACCCGCCAGCTTGCTGTATTTATTCTTTTTTTTTGTTTTTACAATTTTCTTGTTTTATTTTACTTTGTTTTTTCTCTTCTGATTTCAGACAGTTCGCGCCATCTGCATTCTGGCGCCCATTTTCAAATTCCTTCTTTTGGGACTTCCGCATTCCGGACACTTGGCGCCATCCGGCATTCTGGCGGCCACTCTCAGACCTTCGATTTTCAGTTCTGGCCCTGAGGCATTTTCACTTTTGCCCTCAGGTCCATACTTGAGTCCGGTACTTATGTACGGACCCAAGCCCAGTACGGGCACCAAGTTTTCAGCCTCAGTGGTTGTGTTCACTGCGACTTCGCTTCGACATTGTGTTCCTGAATTCAAGACTGCGACTTTGTGACTTTTGCCACTTTGTGTCTGCGTCCTTCAAGTCGTGTCGAGTCTGTGTCCAGTTTAGTGAGTGTGTGTGTGTGCTCTCACTCTCCCTCTCTCTCCCAGCCTTGCTGCTCTGCCTCTGCCTCGTCACAGCCTGCCTGGGTCCCTACCAGACGTCCAGGTTCTCCTGCTGATGCAGCAGGAGAAGTTCACTACCGGATGGCTTCGAACCTGGGCAAAACAGCCCAGTCACAAACCTGGCCTCTCAGCGGCTCCAAACGTGGTCCTGGTCCGAAACAGACACTAATCTATTCGGACATACTGCAGAGCTCGAAACGACACCCTGAAACAGACAAAAATAGAACAGATAAAAAAAAGGGTCAGCATAAATTAAATAAATAAATAAATGAATGCTGCCTCAAAAACTGGTCCTGTGTGGCACAGCCACCGTGCCTGGCCTCCCTGAGATGGACGTGGGCCTCCAGGTCGCGCACGAAAATAGGTGCACGGCGTGGGGGCCCTCTACAACCGTTGGGCCCGAAACGAAGCCCGTGTGCAGGGCTCAGCATGCAAGGGGGCACGACCTGGAGTCCCACGACCATCTTGGAGGCCGCAGGTTTCGTTTCGAGGCACCATTTATTTATTTATTTATTTATCACTGACTCGTTTTTTCTGTCCTATTTTGTCTGCGCAAGGAATTTGAGCGATAGCGAAGTGACAGAAACCAAATCACAATTCCACATTGAAAGCATGAAAGTCACACTGAATCTGGAAAGCAGTAATGC